AGGTGGCAATGTGAGCAGGTGCGGGCACTGCGTGGTGAGGCCAAAAGCTCCTGGAAGCGGTTGGTGGGGGTGGAGAGCGCCTGCAACGTGGACTGCCGCTTCAAGCTCAGCTCCCACAAGATGATGTTCATTGTCAACTCCGAGGACTACATGTACCGCCGGGGGACCCTTTGCCGAGCCAAACAGGTACGCCTCCCACTCTGCCCTGGGACCCTGGGTCTCGCCCACGGCCGTGTGTCAGTGCCCAGGCTCCCGTCCCACAGCCATCTGGGCGCCTGGTCTCTTGACTCCACTCCACCCACCTGACAGGTACAGCCCCTGGTTCTGCTGCGGCACCACCAGCACTTTGAGGAATGGCACAGCCGCTGGCTGGAGGACAACGTGACTGTGGAGGCAGCTGGCCTGGTGCAGGACTGGCTGATGGGCGAAGAGGATGAGGACATGGTGCCCTGCAAGACACTCTGCGAGACGGCCCATGTGCATGGCCTGCCTGTGACCCGCTACCGCGTGCAGTACAGCCGCCGCCCTGCCTCCCCCTGATGCACCTGAGCAGCTATCGCAACACAGTTCGGTGTGGTTGCTTCCTCAGGCCTGGGTATCTGTCAAGAGCATTTTTATGAACCACCCGAGGGAAGGGAGCATTCCCCAGCCTTGCTGCTCCAGGCTGCCGTTCCGGAGAAGGGTTGAGTCAGCTTGCAGCCCCATGCTGTCATCACTCTCAGCTCCTCAGCCTCCTTTGGGCCAGTCCTGTGCCAAACCTGAACCCCTGCGCTTGAACTTGGGGCTCAGTCCCCAGCAGAAAGGGGAGGATCCACCCACTGCCTGAGGAGCAAGCAATTGTGTTCACTCACCTGCCAGGCACTCACATCGCATGTGCCAAATCTCTGGGCAGGGCTGTGCTGGTTGTTATGTGCACAGGGCACCTGGGAAAGCCAGTGACCAGCCATGTGAGGGCACATGTTTGAGAGGGGCCGACATTCGAGAGCTCCCAGCATAAAAGGAGTTGGGCAGTGCCCAGATCTGACTGGGCATCAGCTTGGCCATGCCAGCGCTCGGATCCTCGTTGTTTTATAAGTCAAACTGTTAGGTGTGGTGTGGGCAGGGCGTCCGAATGGCCCAGAAGACCCCACTGGGGAGAAGACTCGCCAAACCCTGCATTGATCAGCAGCCGGACCCTGGGTCTGTGAGGGGCAGGGTCGGCCCCCAGAGAGTGGCCATGGGGGCTCCAGGATGGATTGTGTACCCAGACGGACATTCTAGAAGGACAGGTGCACACACCTATTTATTCCTTTGCGCGGCTCAGTGGTGGTACTTCAACAACCACGGAGTGAGAGCCTCTTCATGCCCACCCGACACCGCTGTTCCTGCCGTTGCCACTAGGCATGGGGGGCGGGGGGGGCTGGGGGGGAGGAGCTGGGCGACTATTCTGCAGAGGCGACCGTGGCTTTCTGGGCCAAGAATGCCAAGCAGTTCAGGCTGGGGACCAGCTCCTTAAAACTGCACACGAGCAGCCCGGGCCGGGCCTCTGGCAACATCATACTGAGCGGGACCCACTGACAGGCGGGCCCGAAGCAGTCCCCGTGCAGCCCTGTCCCGCCGCCTCGCCCTCCTGCTGAGCTGTGCCAAACCCGCGGCTCCCGCGGTGGAGGCGTGTTCTGGAAGTTGCCTGTGGAACTCGAGGTCGGCGAAGACTTTGACTCTGGGCCCAGGCTTGCTTACCCTCCTGGGGTCTCCCTGCCCTGTTCCCTCCAGTGTAACCCAGGCACTTTGTCTGAACCCTGTTTTGTAAGAAGGGGACTTACCGAACTCCGGCACCAGCCCCGCGAGGCCGCCCCTGTGCCTCGGCGGGCGCCTGGGTGTTTGCCAAACCCCTGATCCCCTCCCCTGCATGCTTCTAAGGAGCTCTCTCTCGTTTTTGAAGATTTCTCTTCTGGGGCTTGAACTTCCTTTGCAGCTGTTTTGAATGTAGTTTCCTTTTCTATTTATTTGCACATTAAAGTGAACAATTAAATATTGACCTGAAGCTGTGAGCTTCCATCCATTATTTCCGGTTAGCGAATCCCAGGGCGGCTTTTCCCGCCCAGTGAATTCAGGCAGCGGGACCACAGTGTCTGCACCTGTGCACAGGGGTCCCAGACCTCCCAGATAATTTCCCGCGGCGGTTCTCCACCTCATACCAGAGCATTTTCTAGAACATTCCAGTTCAGTTTCTGTGTTCAGTAGAAATGTGAAGTGTTTCCTTCTAATGTTGCACTTGCAAAAACCAGTTACAGTACCCAGTGTCTGAGTTTTCTCTGCCCTTGTGCGTCTGATGCCAAGTCCCGAGGCTCATGGGAGGCAAATGGGACATCTGCCCCACAAAACCACCCTCCATACTCTGCCTCTGGGGCCACCCCCTTCCATCTCTCCCTTCTTCCCCATCACTGTCCTCTGAACATCTCTAGGACCCCTCCCACCTGCTGGCTCCCCCTCCAAGGATCAGGGGAGCCCCCACCTCTCTCAGGGGGGTCTTTCAGCTGGCACCTCTTGCACTGCTGCCAGGGAACTGGCTGTGCCCTCTAGCTGCACCGTGTACCTGCCTCCCCTCAGCCATGCCCAGTGCCCACCTCCAGACCCCACCTGTCAGGTCCTGAGCCCAGTTGGCACCGCCCTGCCCACCTGGCCAATCCTCTCCCAGGAGTTGCCCACGCCCTGGTCGGCTGTGGCTGCCTCCCAGGGGCCCCTCCACCCACGTGGGGCCCCTCATGGTCCCCGCCTCCCCCTCCAGAATGTCGGTAGCGGGCAGCTTGGAGAAGGAGGCTCGTACTAGCTTGGATTCTGGCACCCACCATTCTATTTCTGTTCCTGGATCTGACGAGGAACCTTGTATAAGTGGAAGCATGCAGTGTGTGTCCTTTTGTGTCTGTCTGGCTTACAATGTCCTCAGGTTTATCCTTGTAGCATGTGTCAGAATTTCCTTCCGTTTTGAAGCTACCTTTCTGCCTTTTTGAAAACGTAAGTTTTTATGGAAAGTGACATATGTACAGAAAATCCCGATGGGACAAAGAAGCACCTGAAGGAGTAGGGGCCCAAGCCCCTCTCCCCAAAGGCAGCTGCCCCTGTGCTCCAGCCCTCAGGACTCCGGGGTCGGGGGGCACCCTCAGGGCGGAATCCCAGGGCCAGAGGCCATAGCAGTAGGAGTGCCTACATGCTATCGGGGGCCAGTGCCAGCACCGGCTGCTCTGGGCGCCAGCCAGCTGGCCTTGGGCTTCCTTCTGCTGGACCCACCCCCAGCTTCCTGCGTGGAGGCGGGGGAGCGGACACCTCTGTGCCACTTGTCACCCAATTGGGACAGGACAGCAGCCGACACCTCCGTTTGGGGTCCCTTCGTTCAGCCGGCACAGGTTGTCTCCATGGGGGCTGTCAGTGAGCAACCCCTTCCCTCCCTCCCTCTTCCCTACCCCCACCTCCTGGTAATAGCCCCTGTACAGATACCTTCCTGCACGCACGTGTCTGCCATAAATTCCAGGACACGGAACTCCTGAGTCAGACCACCGTCCTGGGGCTCCCCGTCTGCCCTGGCCCGGTGTCCCGCCCCCAGCAGCCCCTGAACAAGTTCCCCTGAGGGTGGCAGGGTCCCCATCCTTGTTTTCCTGAGCTGAGGGCATCAGTTGTGCGTTGTCCGGAGACGGAGGCATGCGCTGAGTGTGTTACTGGGGGGAGCCACTCCGAATGGGAGAGCTCCTCGCTGGGACGCTGCCCAGCGCGGGCGCTCCAGGCCTCAGTCCCCCTCACCGGGCTGGGGGCAGGGACTCGGCATCTCGGCCTCTGGCCACGTCCAAACTGCTCAGTCACTTCCTGCGGGTCTGTGTCCCTGAGCGTGATGAGATTAGGGTTGCTGTGCCAAGACACACCACGTCTGACCCTCTGTCACCTCCCACTGCCCCTTGGGGTCCTGCTCCAGACACAGGCCCACGGCCCAGGGCTGACCACACAGAACCGAGGCCCCTGAGTTCCAGCTCCCCAGGCAGGCCTGCTGGAGGCTTCTCTAGGCCCTCGAGGGTGGCGGTTCGCGTGCGGGAGAGAGGAATGCCCTCCCTCTGAGCCTCCGTTTTCTTCATCTGCACAGTGGCCCCCATCAGAATATAGGAACGTGGGGGGGAAGGGGCAGAGGAAGGTGGGCCCCTGGGCGGTGGCTCCGGCGTCCTGACCTGGGCTGGCCTACTGCCTCCCGGGGGCTCTGATGTGGACGTGTGTGTCCATCCCCCCCAGTCACTCCTGGGGCCCAGGCTGAGGTGAGGCCAGGGCAGGAGCAAAAGACGCTTCGAGAACTAAGGACAGACATCGCCCAGAGGTGGCTGTGCCAGGCTCCCCCGTCAGGGCCACCGGACAACGGGGCTCACACTCGGCGCTCCCCCGCAGACCCAGCTCGCAAGGCGCCTTCCCCTCTCGGCACCTCACTTTGCCCGTGCCCAGGGGGTCGTGCTGGGTAGTGGGTGAGGAGGAGAGAAGGCAGGGCAGACCTCACAGAGGCCCCCGGGGGCTTGGGCGCATGTGGGGGGACAGGGGCTTCACCTGCTCTGACCTATGACCTGAAAGGCAGGACTCTGGTGTTGCCCAGCAGAGAGAGAGAGACGAGGTTTCAGGAAGGGCCGAGAGCTCCTGATGCAGGCAGGACGTGACCTGGAGGCCTGGGCTGCTGTGAGAACAGCAGCTGTGACTGGCCAGCAGGAAGTGACCACTTGGCCCCACAGGCTTCCTGGTCTGGACAGGGGCTGGTGGGGCTGCTGCCGCCTGAGACTTCCTCCCGTCTTACTGGCCCAGCACTCGAACCCCGTGAGGCACCTCTGCCAGACAACGTGGCCCAAAGGAGCCACAAGGCCACTCGGGTCATCCGCGGGCCTCCCCTGGGCCGGCTGGGGGCGGGGGCTGGGTTATCTCACCGGGCCCTGCCCGCTCCCCAGCCTCCAAGCAGGAAGCTGGGGGTGGGGGTCCAGCAGATAGGAAGCCCGAGGCCAGCTGGCTGACGCCCAGAGCAGCCGGCGCCCGGCCCCAGTAGCATGTGGGCGCCCCTGCTGCTGTGGCCCCTGGCCCTGGGGTCCCGGCTGGAGGGCGGCACCCCAACTCCCAGTGTCTACGATGAAGACTGGAGCACAGGGGGAGGAGATGGTGAGTGATGGCGTGTGTGTGCTGCTGTGGGACTGCGGGGGGAGCATCAGAGATGGGCGGAAGGACACGGGACCGGGGTGCCCTCCAGCTCAGCCCCGAGCCCACGGGGAAAGGGTTTCCGTGTCCAACTCTGTCCCACGGACGTGGGGGCTCCTGCGAGCTGGGGCCTGGGCTGCAGCCCCTCGGGGGGTGGAGGGGGCCACCACCCAGCGGGAGGGCTGGTTGAGAGGCAGGAGATGACGCCTCCATCCCTGTTCCCTCCCCCAGGTGTCCAGCGGGGACCTTGGACCACTCCCCGGGGGCCAGCAGGATGCCTACCTCGCTCCTTCCCCGGCCGGCTCTGTCCCAACGGCAGCAACACCCTGGAGCTTCCGGAGAGCTCGCAGGCGCTGCTGCTGGGCTGGGTGGCCACGAGGATGGTGCCCGCTCTCTACGGGCTGGCCCTGGTGGTGGGGCTGCCCGCCAACGGCCTGGCCCTGTGGGTGCTGGCCACGCGTGTGCCCCGGCTGCCGTCCACGCTGCTGCTCATGAACCTGGCGGCCGCCGACCTGCTGCTGGCCCTGACCCTGCCGCCCCGCATCGCCTACCACCTCCGGGGCCAGCGCTGGCCCTTCGGCGAGGCCGCCTGCCGCCTGGACACGGCTGCGCTCTACGGCCACATGTACTGTTCCATGCTGCTGCTGGCCGCCATCAGCCTGGACCGCTACCTGGCCGTGGTGCACCCACTGCGGGCCCGCGCCCTGCGGGGCCGGTGCCTGGCCACCGGGCTCTGCACCGCGGCCTGGCTGGTGGCGGCCACCCTGGTGCTGCCCCTGGGGCTGCGGCAGCAGACCTTCGGGCTGCCGGGCTCGGATCGCCTGCTGTGCCACGACGCGCTGCCCCTGGACGCCCAGGCCTCCTACTGGCGGCCCACCTTCATCTGCCTGGCCGTGGTGGGCTGCCTCCTGCCCCTGCTGGCCACGCTGCTCTGCTACGGGGCTACCCTGTGCTCGCTGGCCACCGAAGGCCAGCGCTACTGCCACGCGCTGAGGCTGACGGCGCTGGTGCTGGCCTCGGCCCTGGCCTTCTTCGCGCCCAGCAACGTGCTGCTGCTGCTGCACTACTCGGACCCGGGCCCGGAGGACTGGGGGAACCTGTACGCCGCCTACATGCTCAGCCTGGCGTTCAGCACCCTCAACAGCTGTGTGGACCCCTTCATCTACTACTACGTGTCGACCGAATTCAGGGACAAGGTGCGGGAAGCGTTGCTCTGCTGGGTGCCCGTCTCCACCACGGTCTCCAAGGAGAGGGGCAGCCCGGCGACGGGCACCAGGTCCTCATCGCTCGTCTGACAGCCCCTCCCCTCAGGAGGCAGAGCAACGAGGAGGGCTTGTCCTGGGCTGAACGGGTCTCCCGCCAAAGTCGTGTCCCTCAGGAACCTCTAATGAGCTCGTATGGAAGTAGGGTCTATGCAGGTGTCATTAGTTAAGATGAGGTCACATTGGAGTAGGATCGGCTAATCTCTATATATAAAAGGCTAATATGCTAAGTGCACGACCGTCCGACTGGTCGCTATGATGTGCACTGACCACCAGGGGGCAGATGTTCAACGCAGGAGCTGCTGTGACGCAAACAGAGAAACAGCACCACTGATCTGATGCCCACAAAGCAACACTCAGCTTCCCCCAAGTGGGACACAGGCCCTGCCACCACCCCAGAGCGACAGCCCACCAAATCACAGCCAATGCTGCCGAGACCCCATGATGCAAAATGTGTCCCACAGCCCAGCACAGCCGTGGGCTCCAGGTAATGTCATGTAGCAACACCCAGCTTCCTCTCTCTAGCATAGCCTCCTTGCAGTTTCTTCAGCCCAGGAACACGACTTGCTTTATAGCTAGGTGGAAACATTTCACACTTTAATCAAATGTCTGTGAAGCGTTTTTCCGTGCCTCATCTCATTTGATCCTCACAGAAGTCCTGGAGTAGGTAGATAGGAGACTCAGTGGAATCCTATTTTTTCATTAGCAGAAAACAGAGATGTAGAAAGCTTAGAAATATGACCTGACTGAAAAGAAGTAAGAAATGGTGGACCTTCAAAATGACTTCAGGTTTTCTTATTGCTTAGAACAGTGTTTCCCAACCTTCTCTCATGATGAGAATCACCTGGTGGAGTTGTTAAAACAGATTCCTGAATCCCAACTAAGAAGTGCTAAACTAGAATTTTTGGGAACATATAGGTAAAATTGTATACTTAACTAGTGCTCTAAGACAGATTTTATATACAGAGCACTAAGTTAGGTATGCAATTTTACCTATATGTTCTCAAAAATTCTAGTTTAGCACTTCTTAGTTGGGATTCAGGAATCTGTGTTTTAACAACTCCAACAGGTGATTCTCATCATGAGAGAAGGTTGGGAAACACTGGCTTAGAAGATAGTCAAACTCTGCTACAGTTAAATATTTTACCTTTTTCCCCTCCCTGCGTGATCTACAGTAATAATGTGCTTCGTGTTGTTTATTACTGTGTTGCTGAGGCCCGGTGCACAAAACTTCATGCACTCAGGGGGCCCCTCAACCAGGCCTGCACCCTCTGGCAGTTCGGGACCCCTCGAGGGATGTCTACCTGCTGGCGTAGGCCTGCTCCCTGAGAGATCAGGCCTAACTTGGCAGTCAGACATCCCTCTGGCAGCCTGGGAGCCCTCAAGGATGTCCAACTAATGGCTTAGGCCCCCTGCTTCCCACCACCACTGCTGTGCTGGCCAGCCATGAGCCGGCTTCTGGCTGAGGGGTGCTCCCCTGTGGAAGAGCACTGACCACGAGGGAGCACACCCTGCACTGCCCCCTGGTGGTCACTGCGCATCATAGCAACCAGTCGTTCCTGGTCATTCTGCCGTTAGGGTCAATTTGCATATTAACCTTTTATTATATAGGAAAAGGCTAAGTTGACTTGTGCATGCACAATACATATAAAGCTCTTGCCAGCATATAAAGCTCTTGCCGGCGCCAATCACATGAGTGTGTTTCTGTCGCTGTCAGTCGTGAATCTGGTTGACACTTTTATTATACAGAAAGGGCGAATAGCGATATTAAAATATTTCTTCTAATTAATTTCCTTTTACTGTGCACGAATCCATGCACCGGGCCACTAGTGTTCTTATAAGAAGACACAGAGACACAGGGGAGGACTGTGTGACCATGGAGTCAGAGATGGTGGCCACATGCTAAGCACAAGGGTTGCTGGCAGCCACCAAACCTGGGAGAGCAGCCTGGGAGGGACCCTCCCTCAGGCCCACAACCTGATATTAGACTTTGGCCTCCAGGATTGGGATAATAAACGCCTGTTGTTGTAAGCCACCTGGTTTGTGGTACTTGGTTACAGCAGCCCCAGGAAACCAAAAGGGGAAATGCAGGTTCCCCGGCCCACAGGCTGTTCTGTGTCCAGGTGGGGATGAGACAGGCTGATGGAGCCCTGGACCCACCCGGGAACCCTTCCAGAAGGTTCAGACCCTCCCACCCCCATGGCCCAGGCGGGGGAACCTGCTTAGAGGTTCTTGTTCTCAGAAGCCCAGCTTCCGGTTCCAGGGTTCAGGGTGTCTCCTGAGCAATCGCTGTGGAAACCCCCACTCTGCTCTGCAGCCCATCGTTGGGAGCCGCAGGCTCAGTCTCCTGCTGTCCCTCTCCCCTTTAACCTGACCTCTGCTTTCTCATTTGGGATTAACTCCCCACCCACCGGACGGGGGTGGGGGTGGGGAGGACGGAACTTAAGGGGGAAGGCTGTGCACCTGGGGGCAGGGGCCTTCGGCCTCAGACCCCACCCCCAGCTGTTCTGAACTGAGTGGGAGGGGGTGCCACACTGGGAAAGGCAGCAGCCACTCTCTCCTTCTCTCAGAGCAGCCACCGAGGCATCAGCTGTGGGGCACGGGGATGGGGTCATTCCGGGATTCACATTGGGCCTGTGTCTCTGGTCTGGGGGAAAGGAGCTGGTGAGGGGGCAGCCCGGACACACACACACACACACACACACACACACACACACCCTGGGGAAGTGTCAGGTCACCAGGAGCCTGGTGCGATGAAGTTTGTTTTCTAGGATGTTACCACTGGGGGCACCCGCGGGGGGGGGGGGGTCCTAGGAACTCTCCATCGGTGTCATTTCTTACAAAAGCTCGGGAATCTTGGGGTGCAGGTGTGCAGCGCCCTCCTCCCCACCTGCTCTGGAAGGTTGGGCTGTGGGTGAAGGAACAGAGGCCTGGGGACCAGATGGGAACTGGGGCTCAAACTTTGGGGGCTGCCCCCCGCCCCCCGAGGCAAAAGGCTGCCAGTGACGGTGGAAACGAGCTTTTATTATACCAGCAGCCTCTAATGAGTGAGACACGGGCTCGCCCAGAGAATCGTCCCTTGTGGATGGGGGCGGGGGCGGGCAGGGACATGGGACATTGCCGGTGCCGCACCACGGAGGCCTCATGGGGCAGCCACCTCGGGCCCCGGAGGGACTCCGTGCTGCTCTGAGGGTTGGTCTGAAATAAATAGCACATGGGGTGAGGGTGGGGGTGGGGAGGCAGGCGGGTGGGAGGGGGTTACGGGAAGGAATCAGAGCCCGGTGGAGTCCTGGCAGGAAGGTCTGAGCTTGCAGCTTCAGCGGGTCGTGGAGCTGGGCACCCCCTCCCTGGGGCTGTGGAGGGGGTGGTCCCCCAGGTGGGGTGCCAGGGGACATGGAGTTCAGGGGTGAGGCCTTGACAGCAATAAGATCTAAGTGCATCTGCCCAAGACTAAACCCCCGGGGCAAGACTGGCGGAGTGTGGGGGCTGCGTCCATCCTGGTACAAGCCCGGTCTGGACAGGTGCTGGGCCGCCTGGGGAAAGGCCAGGCTTTGCACTTTGGAGAAAGGCAGCTGTTCATTTCGAAGGTGCCAGAGAGAGCACGGACACGTCCTTGATTTATCCAGAGTCCTGTCTTCCCGGAAACAGCCCTCCTCCCTGGAGCAGAAGGTCCAGCTGCGGGAGCTGCGCTGGTCCGCGGAAAGGGGGCGTCAGCAGCTGTGGCGTTGGGGGTCGACGGGCCTCCCTCCCATGACGGTGGGGGCTGGCCCCCAGGAGGCCCGGCACCCACGGGGCAGTCAGGTCTCTGCGCTGGGTGTAGAGGGTTCCCTGGGAGGTGGGGCCACCTGGGCCGGCCCACCAGCCACCAGGCCATCAAGGGGGCACTGCAGCCAGCGGCCTCCTTCCCGCAGGCGGACGGGAATAGGAAGCAGCCAGATCCGGTCCTGCTCTGAGCATCAGGAAGAGAAGCCGCTCTGACTGGTGGGGAGAGAAGGAGAAAAAGGTTGTGGGCTGCCAGGCCCTGTGAGCTCTTCCCTGACAGGCCTCCTCCGCAGGCCTCCGCCTCCCCAGGCCTCCACCTCCCTGGCCTTCACTTCCATAGGCCTCCGCCTCCCCAGGCCTCCGCCTCCCCAGGCCTCCCCAGGCCTCCACCTCCCTGGCCTTCACTTCCATAGGCCTCCGCCTCCCCAGTCTTCTCCAGGCCTCCACCTCCCTGGCCTCCACCCCCCCCCCAGCCTTCACCTCCACAGGCCTCCACCTCCCCAGGCCTCCACCTCCCAGGCCTCCGCCTTCCCAGGCCTCCACCTCCCTGGCCTTCACTTCCATAGGCCTCCGCCTCCCCAGGCTTCTCCAGGCCTCCACCTCCCCGGCCTCCACCCCCCCCCCCACAGCCTTCACCTCCACAGGCCTCCACCTCCCAGGCCTCCACCTCCCCAGGCCTCCACCTCCCAGGCCTCCGCCTTCCCAGGCCTGCATCTCCACAGGCCTGCACCTGGCTCAGCGGCTGCCTAGCCCATTGAGGCAGCAGCACATCACCTAGCAGTGTTTCCCAAACTTTTGACATATGTGTACCCCTTCTATAATTTTCGTAACGCTGAGTACCCCTCATACTCATGAGAACGTAGAATTAGGTGCAGCTAAGCACGGTGCAGTGCATATCCCCACCAAACTCCGGTGCAACGCGTCCCCCCACCAAACTCTCCCCGTCCCCCTGGGGGTACGCGGACCACCCTTTGGGAAACACTCCCTAGGGGGCCCAGCCCCGCAGGCCCCTACCCACCCTACTGGGCCACAGTGATGGGACAGGCCTCCACCTCCCACAAATCAAAAAACTATCTGGGGGCCTCAACTCAGCGGTGAAGAGGAACTATTGATACACAAAAACCACACGATGGATTGAAAGGGAGCTCTGCAGAGTGAGAAAGCCAGTCTCAAACGGGTGCACACTCTACAGCTCCGCTGACATGGCCTTCCTGAGATGGCAAAATCAGAGGGAGAACCGATGAGTGGCTGAGGAGGGGAGGTGGGGGCAGTGACGAGGGTGCTACAAAACTGGAGTCCTTGAGGCGCCAGCTGCTCTGTGTCTTGACTGGGGTCGTGGTTACACGAATCTACATATGAGGAAACCATGCAGGCTCGATTGCAAATGAGCACACGTGTAAGTGGTAACAGAGGAATAAGGTGGGTTGGTTGGCCCTGGCCGGGTGATTCAGTTGGTTGGAGCATCATCAGGCACACTAAAAGG